TAATATTTTTTATTTGAACTAACAAGGGGAATATCTAACAGATGATAAAATATGAATACAAAAGCCTAATTGTGTCAAGAAATTTACTTACATTGTATGATAGCAGCTTTAATTTGTGAAAAATAGTAAAAATGTACAGTCCTAAAACCTGCAATTTGACACTTTTCCGATTACTTGCGGCTCACGAAAATAAAAAAGTGAATTTGTCCGTGTACAGTTCTTACAGATTAGTGCCCACACATGCCCAGTCGGGTAATTTTGATTAATATTTCAGGAAATTTTGTTCCATGGTCTTTCGCTTGCCTCCTGTAAAAGGTAAGCACTGTGTAGGCCTACTGCTCGTATTATCAGACGAGTGGTAGCGAAAAGTAATTAGCATTACAAAAGCATATTTCCCTTTGAAAGTGGCCCGTTCATTTGCAGCTAGGCAAGAATCGTTTGTCGACGTATCTGCAAGGAAGGTCAAGAGTCGATAACGACACAACGAATCGTCTTCTTTCTCTAATGACTTAATGAAACGTAAAAGATTCCGCGCTTCGCGCGGGAGGGGGGGGGGGAAACTAAATTCAGACGAAGATTAAAGTCAATAACGACACAACGAATCGCCACAGACGGCGCTATTCCATAACATTCTGTAAGTATAAGGGCCTTCAGTGACAGTAAGAGGGGAGGGTCTTTTTGATAGGAAGCATGGTGCGTTACTTAATCAATGTTGAGTGCCCCCACCCCGGTCAATCTCTAAGGTAGTTTAGACGAAATCGCTTGTTATCCTTCAGTATGTCTCCAATAATTTGCATGGCCTGCGCGAGCTATATATAAGAAACTGCTGTTTTAAAAAAATTATATGTGATAATGTGTGCTTTTATATTGAGTAGGCCCGAAGAACGGAATACCGGCAATTTAAGCTCTGGAAGGACCGAGATTGCAGCGTTTAGACTAATTCAAATGCAACAATTCTTCTTGCTTGGTCCCTACGCTCCCTCGCATAATATCCTTCAAAATGTAGAACATTTGTATTCCGTTGGTATCACGTAAGCACAGTTTACACTGTATGTTTACAAGATTAAAAGTTATAGAAATAGATCAGTGCTACAAAAAGTGCCATGTTGCATGTTACAGGTATTCCGTAATATTGGTTGGTTTTATAGTTCACTACCACATAGTCTGTATATTTGCCATTTCAACTCCAATAGCGATATCAATATACATGAACATGACATAGGCCTAGAGTGGAAAATTTGAATTCCATCCATGCCCAAGCTCCCTACTTACTCAAATTTTACCTACTAAATATTTACAACCCTTCAGACTGCATAATAATTACCGGCAAAATAAAAGTGGGGTTTGAAAAAAGTATATTGCTTCTTTTGTACTATAGTTTTGCTAAGGAATGTAATTTGCTAATACAACAAAACTTCAAAAACCTGTGAGGGGGTAGTCATTTCTGTCACCTTTCCCCCTCTCGTTCACTATGCTCCCTCGTCCCTCGCATTTCGTCCCCCCGGCCATGAAAAGAAATCGCCGTCCCAACTTCATAGCGACTGTACATGACTGTACCTTTTAGAGGCCGTCGCATAGGAGAATTACCATGACAGCACTGCTATTCATCCTATGGGGGAAGCCGACTTTGTACATTTTGTAATTTTCCTGATATTGATTTTGTTATTGTGATATCCAACTACCTCACTGTTGCTATTTGTGATAACGTTGGTAATATTTATCATTGTTATTGTTATCATTGGGAAATCATGAGGGTATTTATCTGAAAATGAATTGTAAATTTTAGATCACTAGAATTGCGTATTCAGCAATATTTTCTAAGCCACAACAATGCTTTCTTAATCGTGTTCCATTATCTTTAATGTTTATGTGAGAAAAAAAATGTTTGAATCTACTTTCGGATAAATTGATGATTTGAAAGAAGCTTTGATCTTTAAATTTTAAGGATAATATTAAGTACTTGTCACGTAATTTCAATGTGGAGCAAACACCCAAAAAGCAGCTGGAAAAGGCAGATGAATTGGTGTATGCTGTGAAAGTTTGGAATACTCACAATATCTATGCAATTGACCCACTGACTTTAAATCAGATATAATACACACCGAAACGGGTTTATGGTTGTCCAAAACCTTTCAGGTCTGAATAGAAAGGCATTTGAAGTGTTATCTTTCTCGAGAGACTTTTCTACACTTAACCGACATAAAAGATGAAACAGCTCAAAAATTATTTTTCATCTTTACCAATACCAGAACTAAACTTTTTTTAAATTTGAAAGATGTCTCTTGCTCCTGTAACATGGTCATAAACAAATGTAAATAAATATCACACTTTATAGGCTACCAACCTTTAGTATTTGTCTTTTTCTTCCTTTCAAGGAACCTAGCTTCATCCTGGAAAATGAATTGGCCTACCATGTCGCAGTTGTGGATGATTGCCGTCTTCATCTCTGCCAAATTTGTTTCACCCTCTTACTGCAGTAAGAAAGCTTGTCTATTTCTTTTTTCTAGAACTAGAATTGAAAATTGAATGTATGCGTTTCAGATTTTCAAAGTATAGTACTGAATGCATTTCGATTTTATTCTTTCGGTGGTACTTTCACTATGATTTATGATTCTCTAATGTGTGTTATCATTTATAAAGACCGTATTCCATTAAAGTCCCTCTACAGTGTTGGGACCCCCAACAATTTGATGGCAAAATTTAACTTAAATTGTATCATAATGTGAAAGAAAATGTCATTTAAGACACATTTCTGAAAGGATTTTCAAAATAAATGTGTTTGAAGTCGAATTGATGAAAGAATACAAAATTTAGGTCTTCTGCGTACAACAGAAAACCCAAACTATGTATTCTTGTTTATCAATATTTGTCTTGAAACACATTTTTGGGGGGTAAATCTTTGCATAAGTGTATTTTAAATGACATCCTCTTTTACAATGAATTATACAATTTAAGTAAAATTTTGCCATCAAATTAATGTGGGGCTCCCAACACTTTAGAGAGGCCTAAGCTATGTACGTGTTAAATACGTTTAACAAATACACTGCTAATTGCATTTATATGACAAAACTTGTTCACCTTTTAATAACGCAATAAGCAATAAGCGTCCGTCAAAGTTGACAGCGCGCGCGGGCCTGCGTTATCTTTACCCACAATACATGGGCAAAAACATGCCGATACAAAATTCATTGTAACTCTTCAGAATAGATAGCAACTCCCAATATTTTGTATATGTGGATAGATTATGAAATGGAGATTTGATTTCATGTCTCATGTGACCCTCTATTAACTCATAATGTCATCATAATGGCCTCCAAACTCAAGATTTAAATTTGCATATTATGACGTCAGCATATTTTTGGAAAATTGATTGTATCTCTGTAGATATTAATCATTTTTCTTCCACATTTTAATATGTTCTAGCTGAGACAATTTTCTACAAACGCAGTTTTCACAAATGTTCATTTAGACAAAGGCATCATGGCGTATTTTTTTCGATTAAAGGAGGCATGTAAATTTTTCACATTTTGCGTGTATTTTCTATGGGACATGACTTTCTCTCCAAACTGGATTCTACATTCCTGTCTTTCGTGAGCAATATCTCCGTTGTTTTAAATTCGTTTTCGCTGAGTATCGAGTATGTTGTAGCTGAGACAATCAGTTATCACAAATGTGTCTTCTTTTTTTTCTCAATCAGATGCCGGGATCATGCTCATATTTCACTTGCAAAGTAGGATTTGAGAATTCCATTTCCCGTTTACGTGTAATAACTATGGAAATGTTTTGGTATATCGGTAACGCACTTGACTTCCAAGCTCGAGATCCCTGGTTCGAGTCCGGTTGTCTCCAACAATTTTTTCTTCATTTGTTTCTTCTTTTTGACCTTTCACTGTACCATCTCCTTTGATTATTAAAACACGTAGATTATTAAAACACGTAGATTATTAAAACACGCAAATAATGTAATAAACAACCGTATTTACCTTATTATTACCTTATTTTCACTTAATCCATCACTTTTTGCGTGTAATCCCTAAGGGAGATAATAATGATAATAATAATAACGTTGTGACGCTCCTGGCGCTGCCCCGATTATTACCCTGGCTTTAGCAAGATGACTTTTTCTCAAATCTGGATTCTACATTCCTGTCTTTTGCGAGCAATATCGCCGTTATTTCTGCTTGGATTTAGTTGATTTTTGAGTATGTTGTAGCTGAGACTATATGCTATCTAAATCATCCCTCATTTTTTCAATAAGATATCAGGATCACGCTAATGATCATGATCATCATTATCATAATGATGATAAACATTTATCAATTACATTTTCATTTCTTTGAATAAGATAAAATCGTAAAAATGTGTTCTTCATGATGTAAATTAGAGTCAAAGGTGTAACTGGTTACTGTACAGGGTCAATGGTCATATATAGTTTCAATCTATCTTCCCTAGATCCATGATGATCAAGGGGACACAATTTAAACTTGACATATAGATAGATCAAAATGGGAGAAGCATTTTATAAAATAATATATCGTGTAATTCATTATTCGTTATGTAAACCATTACCATACGTATCACCTAATTCGTCAAAGAGACGAATTAAAGTCTAGTATTTATTGTATTTTAAATTTCGTACATCATGTTCGTACACCTGTTCCATATTGTATTGCATCTGCCAACTTTTTTTCCGAATTTAAGTATTTATGTTTGAGGATATAAGTTGCCAATCGTGCTGTCCTACAAACACAATAAGAAGCAAAACCAGGGTTAGCTGACGAATTTCTTAACACAGCATCTTATGATCATTTCACTATCTTCTATACTTAAACTAGTGTTATATCAATTTTTTACAAAGTCAAATTACCCAGGTCATCTCGAAAATGTATTTGTCGGAATTTTTCTTTCATTCTAAAAATATTGAAAGTGAGGAGCTAATATTGCTTTGCCACCTTTACTAAATGAAAATCATACTCTTATTCACCAGATCCAATCTGCAGTTGTGACTTTGACTTAGACCTGTGCACCTTTACCCAAGCTACTACCGATGATATTGATTGGACGAGGCGAGCAGGTAACACGCCGTCTACGGATACCGGCCCGGAAAATGATCATACAATTGGCACAGGTACGTGTATTTTGTTTAACCATTTGACTACTGAAATGTATATTCCCCGTATTTCGCGTACAGGAACCATTAGGTTCCAGCAGGCAATGGCTTCAATTGCAATAACATTTCCCCAAACAAAAGTTATAATGTTATGTTATTTCTTTCTATTGCTGCATTCTTGTAATGAGATGAAATGATTCTGAAAAAAATATACATGAGTAGGAACAGTTTGAAAGTTTTAAAAATTCAATTTTGATTGAAATGAAATGATATTGAAGTTATCAATTCGTTGCCCATTTATCGATTTTTAACCCTATTTACATTTTTGTTTCTTCTTCAAATTCCAAGTTTAATTGGTAACTGATAATAATTACTGGGGTAATAATAATTGAAGGGTCCTAGGGAAGAACGACAACATTGATGCTAACGAGGCTCCGATTGGTTAACAAAAGTATATTCATCTTTATTTCCTACATAATTCTTAGATGATAACAATTTATTAAATAATAATCGCCCTTTTACCTCAATAAAAGCTTGATTTCGATAACTGTTCGTAAGATTGATTTCTTTTGGCATCGTTTTGACTCCACTGGTATTAATTTTTCGATCTCCTTTCGATAATAGCGGCTGGATTCTACATCTTCACAGAAGCATCGACCATTTTCAACAAAGTTGCCGCACTGGAGTCGGAACTCATTCTTGCGTCGTCCGGGCGATTGTGCGCCGATTTTTGGTACCACATGTGGGGAGCTGACATTGGTACACTCAATATCTATGCCAAGACCGGGACCACGCTGGGCCAGGTCCTATGGACCCAAAGTGGGGCTCTGTCCAGGAACTGGTTTGAGGCCCAGATTGATTTCATCCCTACTGCCGATTTTAAGGTTAGACAATCAAAGTTGTTGATGTTGTTATTGTTGAGATTAATGGCGTTTCCATCGTCATTGGATGATTTTCGCCATGGTTTGTTATGTTCCTAATATTAGAAACGTCAGTATTTAGTTTTTCGTAGTACAAAAATAGAATTGTAAAGAAATATGTTTTGTAATCTCAAAATAAAATGCACCTCTGGGCTCCTTTGGTATCGTGTAAATGGTTTCATGGCAATTGTCGTTGCGATAACATTTATAGGGACAGCAGGAATAGCAGTATAAATACTTATGTGGCTACGCTGAGTAAACAAGACCAAATTATTTATTATTAATTATAATAATGAGTATACTAGTAACTTTGAATTACTTTTTTGTTCTTCCTTTAGTTCGTATTTGAGGGCGTTACTGGTGCGAGTTTCAAAAGTGACATCGCTCTCGATGACATCTATATTACAACAGGAGCATGCAGAGGTATATATCTAATATAATTATTGGTGTTGGTGTTCTTGTTTTCATCATTATTAGTATCATTTTCATTATTATTAGTTATTATAAACCTCACTTAAGAAATCCAGCCATCTGATTGGTCGAAATTGCAGTCATGGTTTTAACTATTCCTGTAAAATTCCCGGTAAAATTACAGTTACCGGGAAAATAGTTCAGTCTTGGTGAAATACCCATAGGTTCACATGTTAAAAACTGGTTTGAGCAATCGAGGATACCGTACGTGTGCGGAGAATTGGTCGGTATTTTTAATACGACAATCTCGATCGTACTGAATTCCAAACAAGGCAAAAATGGCTGAAGAAACTCTCCCAAGATGTTAACTTCTTGATGATGATCAAATGCAAGACTTGCTGACAGCAAGAACACCAAAAGGAGTAAGTGAAATTCTCCATAATTTTTTTTCAAAATAGATCTAGTAGGGGTCTAGATTCTAGTAGGGGTCTAGTAGGCCTAGTGCTAAAATCCTTCCCGTAGAGATTGCACACATCACTATGCATTGGTCATTGCGCACTCATGCTAAATTGGTCGATGTTTTAATTATCAGAGATTCAAACTAATATTGCTTGTGATCCTGAAGGTGATACTAAATAAGTGAGGTGTCATGAAAGCGCAGGTTTTTCTCCATATTCCCCACAAGGACGCCTCACCCCCGAAATTGTAAAAATATCTTGCTTAGACTAGAATCTAGATCTAGTTAGGTGGTCTGTCTTCGACAGACTACCTATTGTTTTTGTTCAAATTTTCTTTCTTTGTTTCTTTATTTTTATTTCCTACACTTTTTTGTTCACACGATTACTCAAAATTGAACGGTCCAATTTCTTTCAAATTTGGCACAGTCATAGGTCATTGTCATAAGACGTGACAGGAACATTTTCGAGGACATCAAGTCTTCATGACGTCATCCAGGCGCCATTTTTTTATTTTTTATAGAAAATCTCAAATGATCATAACTTCATAACCGAAAGCCATTTCTCATTCATATTTACCATGATCAAGGTCAATATCAGTCCAGTCAATTTCAGGTCAATAAACGCGCGCGTACGTCCGCGCGTCAGTGCGCGCGCAAATTTGAAAATGCTCCAAATTGTCTCAAATTCATTTTGGATACGTTTCAGGCCATTTTAAGCATTTCATAAAAATCTCAAAAAACACGCATTTTTGCGCGTTTTCGTTCGTAGCGGCTCAACGAAAAATAATTACCCCACCCGAATTTTTGACAGGATATTTCTTATCTTTTTGCGAACAATTTGATACCATGTTTATCTTTTCGTGACCATTATTGACGGAATTACATGTCCGTACGCGCGAGATCTTGTAATACATAGCATATATGGGCAAAAACATGCCTATACAAAATCCATTATAGCTCTTTAGGAAGTCCACAGAACCCCCAAATTTTTCTCATATTTGGATAGAATATGAGTTGGAGATATGATTTTAGGTCTCATTTGGCCATTATATATATCGTGACATCATCATAATGGCCTTGTAACTCAAAAAACGAATTTGCATATTATGACGTCATCATATATATGGGAGATTGATTGTATCTCTAAAAATATTGATTAATTTACTTCCAAACTTAGATATGTTGTAGCTGAGACAATTCTCTACAAGATTAGTGCCCATTTTTTTTCATTTTGATGACGTCATCATGGTGAAAATTTCAATTAAAGGCGACATGTCAGAATTTTCTTAATTTGCGTGTTATGTCTATGGAAGGTGCATTTCGTTCACATCGTGAATCTACCAGGCATTAATCTTTGAGCACTATCTACCTTATTTGTGCTCTTTTTTCTCCCAAATTTTGGTATGTTATAGCTGAGACCATGGGCTATAAAAATGTTTTTTAGTTTTTTAATCAGAAGTTGAGATCATGTCCAAATTTTCACTTGAATGTTGAAATCGCGACTATGCCAAGGCCGTTTGTCAGCTTTGCATTTTAAGTCTATGAGAAATATTTTGCTCCATTGGTTAAAGTTCAAGTCCACTCCGATTTCGAAAAAATATAGCCTGTTGTAAATAAATCAAAGGTTAAGTCTGCCAAATATCACGGCCGTACTTAATTAAAGAGATTTTAAGAGCGATTTTGTTTCGGTTATTTCGAGCAAAACATTTAAATTGCTGTACAGATGTGCATGACGTGTGCTTCTCACAACGAAAGTGCCAGCAGTACATATTCTGACAATAGTCTGTTTTCGTAATGTAACCAAATTTAATGCATACGTCTTTGTGAAGTGTCTTTATACAAACTATTTCATTCACATGATAAGAATAATACTATTTTATTATTCATATCAGGTGAATTAAAGAGTTTGTGTCGAGGCACCTCACAAAGACATATGCATTAAATTCGGTTACATTACGAATCTGTGTTGTGAGGACCCAACGTCACAAAAAATGCATTGTGGGGAAAACCGACTCGATCATTAACTTGTTTTTTACTCATTAAAAAAATCAAAAAATCTGAGCACCATTTTCAAAAATCAAGTTATATATGGGCTTTTTAGATTTTTGTTTATTTAATCAGCTCAACTTTTCAGTGGAGTGAAATTTTACTTTAAAGCACTTGCCTCCCATTCAATCGACCCAGGCTCGAAGGTTTGATTCCCAGTGGGTCAATTTGTCTTTTTTCGTTTCCGTTTTAAATATGATTTGATCACCTTCTTCGACTGTCATAACATATACAATCACAAACAACTCGATAGAATGCCTAATTTTGCATGTTATTTCTCTGGGAGAGGCATGTCAATATTTTGTGTATAACCCTTTGGGAAATCGGATTCCTTGTCATGGATTAAACCTATATAAGGTTAATCTCCCAAGTCTAAAACAATATCACATCATCCAATTTCAACGATGCTAGTCTCCTTTCCAGACGCTAATACTTTTCCAGCTATTCAGTTCAGGTATATGCAATGTTTAATTACAAACTTCTCTCTTCTCTATAGAGTAAATATTCAATTCTATTTATGCTGGAAATATTTAATGCATCGTTCTCCATTGCATTTCTTTCTCTCTCTCTCTTCTCTTCTCTCTATCTTGCTTTGTTTCTCTTCCCCTCTCTTGTTGTGCCCCTCCCCTTCTCTTGCTCTGTCTCTGCATCTCTCTCTCTCTCTCTCTTTCGATCTCTCTTTCTCTACTCTTTTACCCCCTCTATCTCGTTGTGCCTCACTCTACCTCTTTTGCATTGCCTCCCTCTTATTTTCTTGCTCTGTCTCTCTCTCTGCCTCTGCCGTTCCCGCCTCTGGTTCTCGTTCTCCTTCTACGATGTCTTGTAATGTTCCTTAATTTTCTATAGATCTACCCTCTGCCCTTTCTATTCTTATTTCACCCCTACAATGTTTACCATGGACAGAAACATGAATTGAAATACATTAGTAAACGGCGCTTTGGGATACCTAGTGATCCCCAACTTTGTTCATGTTTGGATAGAGTATGAGTCGGAGATATGATTTCATGTCTCATTTGGCAATTAAGTATATCATTACATCATCATAATTGTATTGGAACTCAAAATACGAATGTGCATTTTATGACGTCATCATATTTGTGCAAAATGGATTGTAACTCTGTAAATATTGATCAATTTTCATCCAAATGTTAATATGTTGTAGCTAAGATGAATGTCTACAAGTTCAGTTGCCACCATTTTTCATTTTGATGACGTCATCATGATGAAAATCTCCATTAAAGGCGACATGTCAGAATTTTTTTAATTTGCGTGTTATGCCTATGGAAGGTTCGTTCACGTCATGCATTTACACGTCATTGTTCTTTAAACAGTATCTTGCTTATTTTTGCTCTATTTCCCCCCAATTTAGGTATGTTATAACTGATACTGTGAGCTATCGTCAATGTGCCTTCCGTGACTTCGTCTTTTATGTCTTAGGATATTTCTTAGTTTTCTCTAGCTCCTTCCTTTGCCCTTAGTATCATTATTTCACCCCTACCATGTTTCCTTATACTATCCTCTCTTCCAAGTCCTTCCAAGTGCATTCTGATTCCACTTTCACCCCTCTGTCCAGCTCATGTATTTTTACATGACTATAACACGTCTCCCTCTCTCCTTCTCTATATCTATATCTCACCATTTTTCATGTTGATGACGTCATCATAGTGAAAATTTCGATTAAATGCGACATGTCAGAATTTTCTTAATTTGCGTGTCATGCCTATGGGAGGTGACTTTTTCTGAAATCTGCATTCTACATTTCAGTCTTGTGTCATTAAATTTCATTAGGATCATGATTTTGATCATAATCATTTCTCAATATTTTGTTCGTCAGTTAAGTTATCACTTTAGTTCAGGTCACAGTTCAATCTATCAGTTCATCAATTCAATCATCAGTTCATCACTTTAGCTCATCAATTCAGTTCATTTCACATCAGTTCAATCTAACAGTTCATCTGCAGTTCATTAGTACGTCATTCATGAATTCATATATTAATACATCACTTTACATTGACATCATTATATTAGATCATTTAATTGAAGATGTGAATGATCATAATAATTAAAGACAGACCACCTAATTCGTCCTCATGACGAATTAAATTTCTAGTTAGGTGATACGTAACGAAGTCTACGTATCACCTATTGATTTCGTCAAGATTTGTATTATTATAAGGTGATACGTACGTAGACGTATCACCTTTTGATTTCGTTAAGATTTTTATTATTAGCTGATACGTATGAAATATACGTATCATCTTTTGATTTCGTCAAGATTTTTATTATTATTAATTTTAGGTGATACGTACGTAGACGTATCACCTTTTGATTTCGTCAAGATTTTTATTATTAGGTGGTCTGTCGATATCGACAGATCACCTATTGTTTTTGTTCAAATTTTCTTTCTTTATTATTATTATTATTATTATTATTATTTATTTTTATTTCTTCCCGTTTTTTGTTTATTGGTTAACTCAAAATCGGTTGTGTTAATTTCTTTGACACAATAATAGGTCATTGTCATGAGACGTGACAGGAACAATTTCAAGGTCATCAGGTCATCGTGACGTCATCCAGGCGCCATTTTGTGAAATGACATTATCCATCATATCTTCATGATGCATCAACAAAGGTCATTCATATTCATATGACATATACTTCAGGTCAAGGGTCAACAGGTTATGTCATCAAAGGTCACATAAAGGTCATGACGCGCGCGTACGTGTGCGTCAAAATTTAAAAATGCTCAAAATCACATAACTATTAAAGGAGAGTACGAATCAGGTCATTTTAGGCATTTCAAAATTTTCCGTCCGTAGGTGTCCCCGCGCGCGTTGCGCTTGCTCACAACGCGCGGAAAAGGTCAAATTCAAAATGTTTACATGATTTAGATTCCTCTTACCGTAAATGACAATTTACATTAATTTCAGTCACTTTTGACCTTTCATAATGCCGTGAGCGCGCGTCAAAGTTCAAAATCCGCGCGTGCTGCTATGGGCAATATAATGCAAATTTGATCAAAAACACGCGATTTTAAAAATCGAAATATCTCTTCAGATAGTCTATTGATCCCCAACTTTTATATCATGATTAGAAAAAGCGTGAGTTGGAAATATGATTTCATGTCTCATTTGACCATCAATTAACTCATGACGTCATCATAATGGCCTCCGAACTCAAAATTTCAATTTGCATATTATGACGTCAGCATATTTTTGAAAATTGATTGTATCTCTGTAAATATTGATCGATTTACTTCCAAATTTTAATATCTTTTAGCTGAGACAGTTTCCTACAAATCCACTGACCACATATTTTCATTTTGACGAAAGCATCATGGCGTATTTTTTGCGATTAAAGGAGGCATGTCAATTTTTGACATTTTGCGTGTATTCTCTATGGGACATGACTTTTTCTTAAAACTGGTTTCTACATTCCTGTATTTCACGAGCAATATCTCCGTCGTCTTAGCTTCGTTTTCGCTGAGCTTCGAGTATGTTGTAGCTGAGACAGTACGGACTTTTAGATTGAGTGGACGAGAACACGACGAACACCGACTGATCATGCGTGTCAACGTACTCAACTGCCCATGTTGACTACAATTAGAAATCTTTTAGATTGCACTCAGCGATATACATGCATGCAGGAAGTAACACTATGAATATGACGGACAAAGAAAGAGGAAAAAATATACAGATCCTCATTCTACCCTCAACAATAGGCCATTTTCGTAATCTAACCAAATTCAATGCGTAAGTCTTTGTGAAGTGCCTTAATACAAATTATTTCATTCACCTGATAAGATTAATAGTATTTCAATAGTCAGAATGCAAACTGCATATATTAAGTGTTGCTAGGTAGGTCAAGCCAAAATCTCTGTCCAACCTGACAACAACTAATGATGCAGTTCAGATTCTGTCTATTGAAATACTATTATTCTTTTCAGGTGAATGAAATAATATGTATTGAGGCACTTCACAAAGATTCATGCATTAAATTTGGTTACATTACGAAAATGGCCTATTGCTGTGGTAGAACATCCCTTCAGCCTTCACTGCTATTATGTAAAAATGTGTAGAACAGGTGAATATGCATGTGACACCTGTTCTACACATTTTTACATAATAGCAGGGAAAGGATGTTCCTTGGTCTACCTAAAGGCCCGGTCCCACTGCACTTACGGATGCAAAGAGGATGTAAAGCGTAACAAAATCTTGCCATCCGTTGGAAAACGCTATGCTTCCGTTGTGTACTCATTGCATACGTGTTTCATACGCTCTTTCCATCGAGCATCCGTCCATTGTGATTTCATCCGCGCAAAAAGTTTTGAGCTGCACAAAACTTTTAGAACGGAAGAACTTCCGCCGTGTACGATGTAAATCCGCGACAAATACGAGCAACAAACGTTGTATGTCCGTTATCATCCGTTAAACGCCCGCTGTATCCTCTCTGCATCCTCTGGGCATCCTCGCAACTCGTATCCGCTGCAGCTGAAAACGGAAAGAGGGAGGAAAGATAAGGTACACGGAACGTCTATACATCGTTAGTAGCACGGAAACAGAAAGGATGTAAGCGTATGCATCTCGTATATAAAGTATTCAAAGCTGTCATCCACTTCCATCCGCTTTCATCCGCTAGACTTCCGATGAACATCCGTTTAACATCCCCGCTACATACTACCCACGTCCGTTATTTTCCGTTCTGTTTTCGCAAATTTTCGCAAATTTTGTCCATTTCTTGAGCGGATGAAAACGGATGGAGCCACCCGCGAAATTTTGCTCGTCCGCTGTGTCCTTTATGCATACGTGTTGTGTCCATCGGCCAGTGGGACCGGGCCATTAAGGAACTGTATATTTTATGCGCACGCGGCATAATACTAGTACCGTACTAGATTGAGGAAAATCAAGGTTGACGCATTCTCGATCGCCGACTGAGACGACGTGACGCATGCGCAGTGCCTTAAAATGACGTCACACGTTGCAGTCAAAGCTGTCGACGTGCAAATCTAAAAGTCCCTAATAAGCTATCACTAGTGTGCCCTTTATTTCTCGATCAGATGCCGGGATCATGCTCATATTTCACTTGCAAAGTGGGATTTGAGAATTTCATTTTCCGTTTACGTGTAATCGCTATGGGAAATGTTTTGGTATATCGGTAACGCACCTGACTTCCGACCTCGAGATCCCTGGTTCGAGTCCGGGCGTCTCCAACAATTTTTTTTCTTCATTTTTTTTTCTTTTTGACCTTTCACTGTACCATCTCCTTTGAATATTAAAACACGTAGAATCGCAAATAATGTAATAAACAACCATATTTACTTTATTATAACCCTATTATCACTTGATCCATTACTTTTTGCGTGTAGTCCCTATGGGAGATGACTTTTTCTCAAATCTGGATTCTACATTCCGGTCATTTGCGAGCAATATCGCCATTATTTCCGCTTGGTTTTTGTTGATTTTGGAGTATGTTGTAGCTGAGACTATATGCTATCTAAATGTTACCTCATTTTTTCAATCAGATGTCATCATGGTCTGTTGATGATGATCATCAACATCATCATGATCATCATCATCATCGTCATCACCATTACTATCAAGATCATCATCATCATGCTCATCATTGTTTACATGTCTATATAACTTCTCCCTTTTTCAATATAGTAAATATATAGCTGAGAATATTCTCTACAAATGCAGTCGTCACGATATTTCATTTTGACAATGGCATCATGGCGTATTTTTGAGGCATGTCAATTTGTCACATTTTGCGTGTATTCTCTAAGGGACATGACTTGTTCTCAAAACTGGATTCTACATTCTTGTCTTTCGCGAGCAATATCTCCGTCGTTTTATCTTCGTTTACGCTGAGCTTCGAGTATGTTGTAGCTGGGACAATGAGCTATCACAAATGTGCCCTTTATTTTTCGATCAGATGACAGGATCATGCTCATATTTCACTTGCAAAGTGGGATTTGAGAATTCCATTTTCCGTTTACGTGTAATCTCTATGGGAAATGTTTTGGTATATCGGTAACGCACATGACTTCCGACCTCGAGACCCCTGGTTCGAGTCCATGCGTCTCTAACAATTTTTTTTCTTCACTTTTTTTTTCTTTTTGACCTTTGACTCTACCATCTCCTTTGCCTATTAAATCATGTAGATTCGCAAATGATGTAATAAACAACCATAATTACTCTATTATTACCCTATTATCACTTGATCCATTACTTTTTTACGTGTAATCCGGATTCTACATTCCTGTCTTTTGCGAGCAATATCGTCGTTATTTCCGCTTGGTTTTTGTTGATTTTGGAGTATGTTGTAGCTGAGACTATATGCTATCTAAATGTTTCCTCATTTTTTCAATCAGATGTCAGGATCACGCTCATGATCATCATGATCATAATGATGATGATCATCATCATCATGGTCTGAAATCTGGATTCTACATTCCTGTCTTTTGCGAGCAATATCGCCATTATTTCCGCTCGGTTTTTGTTGATTTTTTAGTATGTTGTAGCTGAGACTATATGCTATCTAAATCATTCCTTGACGAATTAAAGTCTAGTATTATTGTATTTTAAATTTCGTACATCATGTTCGTACACCTATTCCATATTGTATTGCATCTGCCAACTTTTTTTCCGAATTTAATTATTTAAGTTTAAGGATATAAGTTGCCAATCGTGCTGTCCTACATACACAATAAGAAGCAAAACCAGGGTTAGCTGACGAATTTCTTAACACAGCATCTTATGATCATTTCACTATCTTCTATACTTAAAATAGTGTTATATCAATTTTTCACAAAGTCAAATTACCCAGGACATCTCGAAAATGTATTTGTCGGAATTTTTCTTTCATTCTAAAAATGTTGAAAGTAATATTGCTTTGCCACCTTTACTAAATGAAAATCATACTCTGATTCACCAGATCCAATCTGCAGTTGTGACTTTGACTTAGACCTGTGCACCTTTACCCAAGCTACTACCGATGATATTGATTGGACGAGGCGAGCAGGTAACACGCCATCTACGGATACCGGCCCGGAAAATGATCATACAATTGGCACAGGTACGTGTATTTTGTTTAACCATTTGACTACTGAAATGTATATTCCCCGTATTTCGCGTACACGAACCATTAGGTTCCAGCAGGCAATGGCTTCAATTGGCAATAACATTTCCCCAAACAAAAGTTATAATGTTATGTTATTTCTTTCTATTGCTGCATTCTTGTAATGAGATGAAATGATTCTGAAAAAAATATACATGAGTAGGAACAGTTTGAAAGTTTTAAAAATTCAAGTTTGATTGAAATGAAATGATATTGAAGTTATCAATTCGTTGCCCATTTATCGATTTTTAACCCTATTTACATTTTTGTTTCTTCTTCGAATTCCAAGTTCAATTGGTACCTGATAATAATTACTGGGGTAATAATAATTGAAGGGTCCTAGGGAAGAACGACAACATTGATGCTAACGAGGCTCCGATTGGTTAACAAAAGTATATTCATCTTTATTTCTTACATAATTCTTAGATGATAACAATTTATTAAATAATAATCGCCCTTTAACCTCAATAAAAGCTTGATTTCGATAACTGTTCTTAACATTGATTTCCTTTGGCATCGTTTTGATTCCACTGGTATTAATTTTTCGATCTCCTTTCGATAATAGCGGCTGGATTCTACATCTTCACAGAAGCATCGACCATTTTCAACAAAGTTGCCGCACTGGAGTCGGAACTCATTCTTGCGTCGTCCGGGCGATTGTGCGCCGATTTTTGGTACCACATGTGGGGAGCTGACATTGGTACACTCAATATCTATGCCAAGACCGGGACCACGCTGGGCCAGGTCCTATGGACCCAAAGTGGGGCTCTGTCCAGGAACTGGTTTGAGGCCCAGATTGATTTCATCCCTACTGCCGATTTTAAGGTTAGACAATCAAAGTTGTTGATGTTGTTATTGTTGAGATTAATGGCGTTTCCATCGTCATTGGATGATTTTCGCCATGGTTTGTTATGTTCCTAATATTAGAAACGTCAGTGTTTAGTTTTTCGTAGTACAAAAATAGAATTGAAAAGAAACATGTTTTGTAATCTCAAAATAAAATGCACCTCTGGGCTCCTTTGGTATTGTGTAAATGGTTTCATGGCAATTGTCGTTGCGATAACATTTATAGGGACAGCAGGAATAGCAGTATAAATACTTATGTGGCTACGCCGAGTAAACAAGACCAAATTTTTTATTATTAATTATAATAATGAGTATACTAGTAACTTTGAATTACTTTTTTGTTCTTCCTTCAGTTCGTATTTGAGGGCGTTACTGGTGCGAATTTCAAAAGTGACATCGCTCTCGATGACATCTATATTACAACAGGAGCATGCATAGGTATATATCTAATATTATTATTGTTGTTGGTGTTCTTGTTTTCATCATTATTAGTATCATTTTCATTATTATTAGTTATTATAAACCTCACTTAAGAAATCCAGCCATCTGATTGGTCGAAATTGCAGTCATGGTTTTAACTATTCCTGTAAAATTCCCGGTAAAATTACAGTTACCGGGAAAATAGTTCAGTCTTGGTGAAATACCCATAGGTTCACATGTTAAAAACTGGTTTGAGCGATCGAGGATACCGTACGTGTGCGAAGAATTGGTCGGTATTTTTAATAGGGCAATCTCGATCGTACTGAATTCCAAACAAGGCAAAAATGGCTGAAGAAACTCTCCCAGGACGTTAACTTCTTGATGATGATCAAATGCAAGACTTGCTGACAGCAAGAACACCAAAAGGAGTAAGTGAAATTCTCCATAATTTTTTTTCAAAATAGATCTAGTAGGGGTCTAGATGCTAATAGGGGTCTAGTAGGCCTAGTGCTAAAATCCTTCCCGTAGAGATTGCACACATCACTATGCATTAGTCATTGCGCACTCATGCTAAATTGGTCGATGTTTTAATTACCAGAGATTCAAACTAATATTGCTTGTGATCCTGAAGGTGATACTAAATAAGTGAGGTGTCATGAAAGCGCAGGTTTTTCTCCATATTCCCCACAAGGACGCCTCACCCCCGAAATTGTAAAAATATCTTGCTTAGACTAGAATCTAGATCTAGTTAGGTGGTCTGTCTTCGACAGACTACCTATTGTTTTTGTTCAAATTTTCTTTCTTTTTTTCTTTATTTTTATTTCCTACACTTTTTTGTTCACACGATTACTCAAAATTGAACGGTCCAATTTCTTTCAAATTTGGCACAGTCATAGGTCATTGTCATAAGACGTGACAGAAACATTTTCGAGGTCATCAAGTCTTCATGACGTCATCCAGGTGCCATTTTGTTCATTTTGTTCTCATTCATATTTACCATGATCAAGGTCAATATCAGTCCGGTCAATTTCAGGTCAATAAACGCGCGCGTACGCGTACGTCCGCGTGTCAGTGCGCGCGCAAATTTCAAAATGCTCCAAATCGTCTCAAATTCATTTTGGATATGTTTCAGGCCATTTTAAGCATTTCACAAAAATCGCGCAAAACACGCATTTTTGCGCGTTTTCGTTCGTAGCGGCCCAACGAAAAATCTTTTTCCGAACAATTTGATACCATGTTTATCTTTTCGTGACCATTATTGACGGAATTAGCGTCCGTTTAAAATACATATCCGTACGTGCGAGATCTTGTAATACATAGCATATACGGGCAAAAACATGCCTAAACAAAATCCATTATAGCTCTTTAGGAAGTCCACAGAACCCCCAAATTTTTCTCATATTTGGATAAAATATGAGTTGGAGAAATGATTTTAGGTCTCATTTGACCATTATATATATCGTGACATCATCATAATGGCCTTGTAACTCAAAAAACGAATTTGCATATTATGACGTCATCATATATATGGGAGATTGATTGTATCTCTAAAAATATTGATTAATTTACTTCCAAACTTAGATATGTTGTAGCTGAGACAATTCTCTACAAGATTAGTGCCCATTGCTTTTCATTTTGATGACGTCATCATGGTGAAAATTTCAATTAAACGCGACATGTCAGAATTTTCTTAATTTGTGTGTTATATCTATGGAAGGTGCATTTCGTTCACATCGTGAATCTACCAGGCATTAATCTTTGAGCACTATCTACCTTATTTGTGCTCTTTTTTCTCCCAAATTTTGGTATGTTATAGCTGAGACCATGGGCTATAAATTTTTTTTTAGTTTTTTAATCAGAAGTTGAGATCATGTCCAAATTTTCACTTGAATGTTGAAATCGCGACTATGCCAAGGCTGTTTGTCAGCTTTGCATTTTAAGTCTATGAGAAATATTTTGCTCCATTGGTTAAAGTTCAAGTCCACTCCGATTTCGAGAAAATATAGCCTGTTGTAAATAAATCAAAGGTTAAATCAGCCAAATATCACGGCTGTACTTCAATCAAGAGATTTCAAGAGCGATTTTGTTTCGGTTCTTTCGAGCAAAACATTTAAATTGCCGTACAGATGTGCATGACGTGTGCTTCTCACAACGAAAGTGCCAGCAGTACATATTCTGAAAATAGTCTGTTTTCGTAATGTAACCAAATTTAATGCATATAATATACCTGTTTGTGAAGTGCCTATATACAAACTATTTCATTCACCTGATAAGAATAATAGTATTTTATTATTCTGATCAGGTGAATTAAAAACTGTATTTCGAGGCACCTCACAAAGACGTATGCATTAAATTCGGTTACATTACGAACCTGTGTTGTGAGTACCCTACGTCACAAATATGCATTGTGGGGAAAACCGACTCGACCATTAACTTTATTTTTACTCATTACAACAAAAAAAAGTCTGAGCACCATTTTTCAAAATCAAGTTATATATGGGCTTTTTAGATTTTTGTCTATCTAATCAGCTCACTTTTTCAGTGGAGTGAAATTTTACTTTAAAGCACTTGCCTCCCATTCAATCGACCCAGGCTCGAAGGTTTGATTCCCAGTGGGTCAATTTTTCTTTTTTTGTTTCCGTTTTAAATATGATTTGATCACCTTCTTCGACTGTCATAACATATACAATCACAAACAACTCGATAGAATGCCTAATTTTGCATGTTATTTCTCTGGGAGAGGCATGTCAATATTTTGTGTATAACCCTTTGGGAAATCGGATTCCTTGTCATGGATTAAACCTATATAAGGTTAATCTCCCAAGTCTAAAACAATTTCAAATCATCCAATTTCTACGATGCTAGTCTCCTTTCCAGACGCTAATACTTGACGTTATCATAGTAAAAAAATTCAGTCATAGGTGACAAGGCATGTCAGAATTATCATAATTTGCGTCTTACGCCTATAGGAGGTGACTTTTGCTCAAATCCTGATTCTGCATTCCAGTTTTGTTCGAGCAATATCTCAATTAATTTCGCCGTTTTTTGGGGGGTCAGATTTGAATATGTTGTAGCTGGGAAAAATTTGTACAAGGAGGGTGACTTTTATTGTTTAATCAGATGTTGGGATCAATGTGATATTTTAACTACAAAATGTGATTTGAGAATCCCATTTTCCGTTTACGTGTCATGTCTATGGAAATATTTTGGTCCATTAGTTGAAGCACTTGCCTCTTATTCAATCGACCCAGGTTCAAAGACTCGATCACCGGTGGGTCAATATTTTATATATTTTGTTGTTGGTTCTGTTTTACATATGATTGTATAACCCTCTTCGACTGTCATTAGATATACTATTACAAACAATTAAAATGCCTAATTTTGTGTGCTTTATTTTGTGTAATAAACCTACAGAGTATTGTGAATATTTTTAGAAATATTTTATATGAAATTAATAATGGAATGTTTTGTTATGGATTATTTATGGATCTATCTAAGTCATTTGACACCATCGACCACCGTATGTTACTTTAAAAAACTGAACCATTACGGTGTACGGGGTATACCTCATCAGAGGTTTTCTGATTATTTGTATAATAGAAAACAATATGTGGTGGTCGATGGTGTCGAATCTGATTATATGGATGTAAATACTGGAGTTCCACAAGGTTCGGTTGTCGGAATACTTTTATTTATCATATATATGAATGCTATTATTAACTCATCCAAATTACTTTGGTTTTCATTATTTGCTGATGGTTGTTTATTATTCTCATTTCAATGTAACACGCTTAGTTTCTATTTTAAATGAAGAGTTAATGAAATTGAATGGTTGGTTTCAATGTAATAAATTATTTTTGAATTATGCCAAAACTAAATATGTAGGCCAAAGTTTTCACACAAAGAAAAAGAAAGTTCCAAATTTCACCAATCCTGTTTTTTTCTCTCTTTCTACACTTTCACCCTCTCCCTCTCTTGCCTAGCTGCCTCCCTCTCCCTCTCTTGCTCTGTTTCCCTCTGTCTCGATCTGCCTCTCTCTTTCTTTATAGTCTCTCCCCTTTAAAAATCAAATCAAAGGAAATTTGAGGCAATTTCTATCGATAACAATCATTTCTAGATTAAACATCTTATAGATGCTGGGCTATGGATGGATAAAATATTAATATCGTACTCATATTTTATATTAAATCAGGACTAAATAAATCTCTGTGTACATGTTTTGATATTAAAAAAAGTATTTAAAAACTTTATTTGCATGTTATCTCAAGACTTGATCAATGGCACGAGGAAGCACTCACATCCACAGTGCGTCAAAACGTTATTCAAATGGTAGA